GTGGAGATGAGTTTTAAGAAGGGGATCCAATTCCTGCAAATTTCAATTACCAGTTTGTGGATTTCGTTCTTTTGGAAAGGAGCTTAGCCTGGTCTAAAGGTTCCTGTGACAGGTTTGGGCAACAATTATCTTCGCAAAAGAACTCATGCCATATGAGTGATCCATGGCATTTGGTTGCTTAGGAGCTTGGGAGAGGAGGGTGTGGTGTTTAGCTTTCATGTGCAAGAGAAGGCGAACACCAAGTAGTTCTAGCTCAATTCAAGAGGGAAAGTGGGGGTTCGGCCTATTTCAGTAAGCGTAGTGGAGTATACTTGGGTTTAATGGTGTATATTACATGGGCAAAAAAACTGAGATTAAACAGAGGGAAAGGCTTTGGGTTGTGTGAAGTTGCTTAGAATGACTCTGGGTGCTTGCTCATGGTGAGCTTACAGCAAGAATATTGCACACTCGAGGAGTGGTTAATTCATTAATTTTGGGAGGTGAATCTTTCATTTGTAATTATGAAAAGATTTTTCTTTTTTCCTCTGGTTTTCTTTGTAGGGTTTCACCACATCTTTTCTTGGCTAGTGAACTTTTGAAAAACAAGATGTTTTTGATACTTAATTCTCAAAGAAAACAAAAAAAATGGGATGTTTGTGATACTTGTTTTTCTTATGCATGTGAAAGATTCTACAATATCTTGTTGATGTTATTCAAAGAAAATAAGATAAGAAAACATGTATTATGATTTGACAAATGAGGATTTATCCTTGTTTAGCAAAACCAATAATCCTCCAATTGTTTTAATTGTTACGACCCTTCAATTTACACAAGTTGTTATTAACATAGCAAGTACTTAAAAGATTATGAGTTTTGTTTCATGGATATAGAGAATCGCCCTGTTGAAGTTTGTTTGAGTAGTATTGTGTTTTTCACTATCATCTACATTTTTGTGATTTACAACATGTTAATCTGAGCTTCTATGTCATCTAACTGACTTGGATAAGAGCAATACTTAAAGTGTCTTTATTTTGATGGCACCTCATGCTTTGTTGTGATTTCCTATTGAGAAGATTATTGCATCAGATTGAGTTGAGCAATATGCACATGTAAAAATGGCAAATCGTTGTTAAGGTTGACAGCTTTAGGTAGTTCTCATGGCTGCAACAAGATGTACTAATTTCGGCAATGATTCGAACTGGAATGAAGAGCAAAAACTTTTTGGGGAATCATTGATGGCGCTTAGAGTCGCCGCATACCGATGAAGCTCAAGGGGAAGTTCTATAGGACAGCTGTGAGACTAGCTCTTCTTTTATGGGACAAAATGTTGGGTGGTCAAGAAACTAACATACCCAGAGGATGAGTGTAGCTGAGATGAGAATGTTGAGATGGATGAGTGGTAAGACAAGAAGGGATAGAATTGAAAATGAGTACATTTGAGGAAACTTAGGTGTGGCTCAATAGTCGATAAGATGAGGGAAAGCAGATGGGCTGGCCATGTGCACCGCAGACCCAATACATCAACAGTTAGGAGGTGCGGTTTTGTTCAAGAGCAAGGGGAAGGCCCAAAAGGTCATGGATAGAAGTAGTGAAACAATATATGAAGACTTATGGTCTCACTGATGGTATGACCCTTGATAGAGCATAATGAAGGAACAAATTTGTATAACCGACACCAATTAGTTGGGATAAGGCTTTTATGATGATGATGATGATGATGATGATGATGATGATCAACTTTAGAGGGGCAACAATAGGATTTAAGGGGTAAAGAGCTGAAAGCTCTCCAGGAATGAGCAGTCACCATATTATTGTTTCAATGGATAAGACTATATGTAAGATAAAGAATGGATCCTCCATTCACTTGCAAAATCTTGCATGCGTTTAACTATCGATTTGCAAAACTTGCAAGTTTGTGCTTTGTGGTTAGTGATTTTGTTCCTTCAAAAATAGGAAAAGAGCTAAGAGAGATACAAACCTATGTGATCTTGATGCATATTTGTATTCAATTAGTATTTTGGCTGTTAAATGTGGATTGTAGTAAGATTTTCAAGTATGTATTTGGGAGGATCAAAAAGGAACTTGATTAGATTAGAGTTGGACACAGTCAGGATAGGGGACCCTACTCTGTATCTAAAGAAGAAGAGAACACATTTATTAACGACAGATGGGTTACTTTTGGTAATTTCTAAATGGCACATGCACATTTGGAAATTTTTTGATTATTTGCTAGTTTGAAATCTTAGACAATGATCTTGTGGGTGTTTTGTGATCCCATTGACGTAGTGAAGTGTAACTATAACCTAATGAGGAGTATTTTATCATCATTTGCATGACGTGAGAATTCTAATGGGGAGTTATCTGAATTGGAGTGATCAATGGGTGGCTGATCCATATGTGGACTCAACATGAGCAAGACTTGCTTATGGTTCAGGTGACTCTTCAATCTCACTTAGCAAAACAAAAATGTCACTAGCTTGATACTTGACTTGCCCAAGTCACTTTAATGGTTAAGACTGGTGAATATTTTCAATGGGTGGAACAAGAGACACTAAGTAGGTTTCTGGGGTAGTCCATTCTATTCAGTTTTTGGCCAAGAGTGCTAGCTTGATCCATGTTGCGCTGGCATACTCCTTAAAGAACTTATGATCTATGAAAGTGTTTTTGACTCGAACTCAAATTGCTTTAGACTAGCACAATTTGTTTCCTCCATTTTGTTTTTTGGGGCGGCGGGGGTGGGGGGTTAATTTCAGTATTTGTTTCCTTACTGTATCTTTGCTGAAGAATCTTGTGGCTCTTCATTCGGTGGAATAGGGGACCAAGTAGGTTGTTTCGTTCTGTTGTTTTGCTTGTTCTTATCTATTATTCTTTGCAAAAATTTTTTCATCATCATTATCATCAGAGCCTTTTCCCAACTATTTGGGTCGGCTATATGAATCCTGGTCTGCCATTCTACTCTATCAAGGGCCATACCCTTAGTGAGGCCATAAATCCCCATGTCTTTTCTCACTACTTCCAACCATGTCCTTTTGGGCCTTCCACTTTGACCAACTCGCACCTTCTAACAGGTATTGTAATGGGTCTGCACTGCATATGGCCGGCCCACCTAATCTACTTTTTCTTATTTTATCGCCTATTGGAGCCACATCCAAGTTCCCTCGAATGTATTTATTTTGAATTCTATCCCTTCTTGGCTTGCCACTCATCCATCTCAACATCCTCATCTCCGCTACACTCATCTTATGGGTATGTTGTTTCTTGACCTCCCAACATTCCGCCCCATAAAACAAGCTGGTCTCATAGTTGTCCTATAGAACTTTCCCTTCAGCTTGATTGCTATGTGGCGATCACATCCTCATCTATTCAAAATTTTCTTATTTTCCATAAATCATCATGATTTCTTGTTGTATTGTGTGCTTATGTTGATTAATATTTTCTTTACTTTATACCAAGTCATGCCACTTGTGGACCAAGAATTGACAATGCGTGATTTAATTAGAGGAGTGGCATAGTCTTTGTCGAGCTGCCACCAAGTTGAATTTGGAGTGCTGAATCTGAACTATGTCTTTAGATCATGAGTAATGAGATTTTTAATGGCAGATTTTGTGTAGGATTCTCCCGGGATGATTGTTCCTTCATTCTTAGAAACTGAAAGGCATTCAGCCAATAATATTAAGAGCACTTGTGGTCAGCAGTTAATTTGTGTATACGAGGCTTCAGGTGTCTCTCTATGCATCCTTTATGAGTTTAGATTGTTCCTGTATAACCTATCCAGTTGGTGCAAGTGCTGAAAAACTTGGGCTTATGAGGTAACTTTGAGGCAGTTTAGGTGCTAATGGCAGATTTTGTGTAGGATTCTCCCGGGATGATTGTTCCTTCATTCTTAGAAACTGAAAGGCATTCAGCCAATAATATTAAGAGCACTTGTGGTCAGCAGTTAATTTGTGTATACGAGGCTTCAGGTGTCTCTCTATGCATCCTTTATGAGTTTAGATTGTTCCTGTATAACCTATCCAGTTGGTGCAAGTGCTGAAAAACTTGGGCTTATGAGGTAACTTTGAGGCAGTTTAGGTGCTCAACTGATGTTTGGTGGGAGCTATCCGATTCGTTCTCTGGAGGTTTTGAGAGGAGTACTTTCGCCATAAAGAGTTCTTAATTTGCTGATTTGACATAAAGAGTTCTTAATGTGCTGATTTTTGAGGTGTAATTTTCATTTGCTATGTGGGGTTGTCATCCCATGGGGTTTTTCTGTATCCTTTGGGCTGTTTGGATGAATCTGTGTTTTTTATTTTGATGATTTTGTGTATGCAAGTGTTTTACAAAGCTGCCTACCTTATAAATTGCTAAAACTAAGACAAGGTTTATATGATAATCTAATGTAGGGTTCTAAACAATTCTGTGCAAGTTTTTTATACTTTTTCAGAGAAATATGCTCCTGGTTACTCTTTAGACATTGCATTACCTAAAACATCCACTTTATGATATTCCAATCATGAATCAAAATGCTCAGATATGTAATAGTGTCCAATCTTGAACTGCAACATGTCCTAGCAAATATTATTCATATTTTGTTATATGGAGGGGGAAATGCACAAAATGCATGTGGGTTGAGATTCAAGATACTCACCACCTTCATCAAAGGGAAGCATCGTCCACAGTTTACTGTGGCTGTGGCCCACGACCATCTGGAACCTATATAACTTGCATTTTATACACTTTCATTGTTTTCCTAACTTATATTTGTGTACGATTTGTTGCCTTCATGGTAAGCAGACATGCATGTGCTTGGGTCAAACACATGCTCACCAACAGACCCATGACATGTTTAAATTCTTCTGGCTTGAATATGGTTTATCATGATTTTTAGCATGAAACTATATGCATGGCATGGAGATCAGTAGTCTAGCACCTCTGCGACTGTTAACCATCTTAAATAACCTTTAGCACTAAGTGATTCCATTTTCATTCCATTGTGCATAGAAAGATACCTGACAATCAATTCTTTTGTGGCACATGAGCAGGTGTCCCGACAAAGACAGCTCCTTGTATAGTCTTGTTGGGGTGGTGGAGCACTCTGGGTCAATGCGAGGAGGGCATTATGTGGCCTATGTGAGGGGCCCCCACAGTCGTGACCCACAAGGTTTGGGTGAGTATTCCTGGTTTTATGCGAGTGATGTTAATGTGAGTCGGGTTTCTCTCACAGAGGTCCTCAAGAGTGAGGCATACATACTTTTCTATGAGAAATGCATTAAAAAATGAGACATTTTAAACTTATATACATATACTTGGGTAACCTTCAATGGAGGTCATCCCCGCCCTTAGATGATCCGCCAAGTGCCAAGGTTGAAGGCATTCTATTCATGGCCAGGGTTCCCCTCCCAAGAGGAAACAATGGGAAATGTGATATTTTTGGTTAGAGGATTGAGAGCTGGGAAGTGGGTTGGATTTGTAAGGGATGGTTGTTTATGCTATCACTTGAGGAGAAAAGAAATGAAGAATTTTGGGGTTGTGGTGAAAACCTGAAAGGTGCCCATTTTTGACGTGATATGACTGTTTGGGCATATGGAAATTTGGCGAGGTTCTGTTTTCATGTGATGAGGTGTGGATGAAAACCACCCGCCCCCCGCCCACCCACACCATATATGCATACGTCTTATATGGTGAAGACCAGTTGTATGAACATTAAAGTGAATGGGGTTGGTGGCCATGGCTTTGTGCAAGTGTTTTTGTGAGTCTCCCTACTCTCTTGCCACTCTAATGATCATATACTTTTTTATTATTTATCGTAGTTTCGAAAATATTTTTGTGGTGGAAGCTCCTAGCTGTTTCGTACAGATTCCATCGTCATCGTCATGATAGCTTATTTTCAATTAATTGGGATCGGCTACACAAATCTTGGTCTGCATAATTCATAAAAGTTGGTAACACGACAATTTGTTGCATTGTTGTCAATAACTAAAAATTGAAATCCTATAATAAGATGTCATTATCATCATCATAGCATTTTCTCAATTAATTGGGGTCAACTATACAAATCTTGGTTTGCATAATTCATAAAATAGTGTAACACGATGATTTGATGCCCCGATGTTGATAACTAAAAATTGAGATCCTTTAATGGGATGTATAAATGAGTGTCGTTTCATAGAACAACTTATGCTCTTGTCATTGAAGAAAGATTTTAAGTATTGATGTTATTAAGTTTCTCAACTGGCCTTTTCTGTTCTACTACTTGTAGGGGTCATTTAACTTACTATGCACGGTGGTCTTTCGGACTATCGAAACAGCCTTGTATGGAAAGATTATGAATCCCTATAGATAAAAACGTGATGAAAAAGTTCTGAAAATTGAATGACATTTTGAGATTAAATTATTTGATGGATTTGAAGCAAAATAATCAAATGATATTATGCATGATCATGGAATCTCATAAATGAAGGACCACAGTATGAATAAGCACGATGAAAAAGATGATCAAATGGGGATTCTAAGATCAATGGAACTTTTCTAAATTCAAAACTCCAACAATTATAGATGTCAAGAATATGATCTTATGAGAAAATAAAATTCAATGGAGTTTATCTTGATAAATACACATTATGGACTTAAGCATATGAAAGGAGGACTACCATCAAGATCACTGTTAATGAAACTTTAAAAACTCTTTCTCTTCAATTTTCTCTCACAAAACCTTAGAAGAAGGAGGGGAGTAACAATTTTTCAAAATGGTTAAAGAGTTGAGATAATTAGGATTTTTGAGATCTCATGATGTGCTTTTATTGATGTATCCTTGGACTTAATCAACACTTTTGATGCACTAATCCAAAGGCACATGAGAGGCTAATGTATCTAGCCACCTATCTCTATCCAACCACTAGGATGAAGGGATGAGATTTCACACCATTATCACTCATCTTAACCCTAAGGTATGTCACTTTACGATTTTGTCATTAGCCTATTGTTTTTGTTTCAAATGTATCCAATATGGCCTTACAAAAATACCTTTAGCTTTTTTTTAAATAATGTATTAGAGTAGATAACCACAAAGGCTAAAGGGCAAAGAAGTAATTGACAAAGCTCATGCATGTAGAAATATTCTATTTTATCAAAGCCAATTACTTTATAGATATAAAATTGCAAACCAATCAAAATAAAGATAATGTTCCTTTCACACATGTGTGAATATATTTTTCAACTCAAATTTGTAAATGCATTTTCTCTTTAATATCAAATAAATAAATTAATTAAACTTTACACATGTCATGCATGACCATATGATAAAAAAAGGGTCTTAATTTATAATATTATATAATAAAGTATAACAATATATAACAAGACACCATAATACAACCCTTTATAAACACAAGTAACCAAATGTCATTCTAGTCCCTTGCCCAGGGATCAGTGCATAGCTAGGTGGTAATCTTAGAGTGTGGCGTGAGGTGCCAAGTGGCAGCCTTATGGCCACTCGGACGCCACATGGCACTACTAGGTCAGGACTAAAGTAGAATTTGAGTCAAACAATTTGAAAACCATCATTTTTTTAGTAAATAAAATTCTGAAAAATTCACAATAAATATTTAAAGATTTTTTGAGAAATTAGTAGGTTTTTATCATCATTATAAAATCAGACAAAAGTTATAGTGAGATCTTAGGCTAATAACTATAGGTATCGGAGTATTCTATTGGGCTAGTCTTGAATGATGTTTCGTAGAGTCTCAGATCTATCCAATAAACTTATGTTCCACAGTCTAAAGCAGAGACACATAATTGGCCATATCAAACCCACTGAGCCGGAACTTTCGATCACTCAGCTTTCAATAGATTACAAGTGTACCCCTGTGGGACATGATTTAATTTAATTATAGGGGTCATATCAAAGCACATGTGCACTGACTATTCCAAACTCGGATAATGCATTTGGAAGAGTGGCTTCCCGTACGAAATGAAACTGCACATGCCATACAATGGTCTCGTGGCAGAATACGGACTTATGTCCCATAAGCCTTGACCATTCCATATAGGATGAATACTCAATAAGTACTCGGGTTCTATTTTTCTCATTTGAATTCTTCAAGCCTTGGTCAATTGCATCTAAACATGAGGCTAATTTATAAAATCCTGACTAGGAGGTGATCCCCACACTTCCTTGAGAAATTATTTTCTCAACACGTGAACTCTCGATGCCTCATGCATATTCGGGTAAAAGAATCTGGGTTTCATTTCACAAGACGCCAAGATTTTAATATCTCAATCGCTCCCACTGAATGAGAGACTACTGGAATTTAAGCTTTGATAGGCCATATTTCCAACATTCTTCCACTTGGCCTTTTGATCCTGAATTCGTATATCTCTTTCTCTCATTATCGTTCACAATAAATCAAAGTATGCATACTCATCTACAGATTTATCATTCACAAGCAATAGACAAAGTAATAACAACTATGTTAACCTCCTTAAACCCATCCCATGTACATGCCTCACAAAATCATTTACCCCCAAGCCTTTGGTTAATGGATCTGCATGCATAGCCTTAGATGCAATGTAACCAACTTCTACTTCACCAGCTGTTATCTCTTCTCTTAATCTATGATATTGAGATTTAATGCGCCTTGACTTGCTGTAGAACCTTGATTCAACTGCTACTGCTATTGCAGCTTGATTGTCACACATGATTCTAATTGTTCCACGTTTTAGAGGGTTCAAGTTAAGATGATTCAAGAACTTCTTAATCCAAATGGCTTCTAACGTTGCGGAAATTAAAGCCATATACTCGACTTCCATAGTAGATAGGGCTATAGTGTCTTGCTTCTTGGTGCGCCAATAAATGACACCACCCCCATAAAGAAATAGATAACCCGAAGTGGATCTCGAGTCATCCGGGTCTCCATGATAGTCGGAGTCTGTGTATCCCAAAACTTTAAGCTCACTCACATTGCCATAGGTTAATCCATAATCAAATGTTCCTTTCAAATACCTCATGATTCTTTTCACGACTTTCTAATGTTCTAATCCAAGATCACTTTGGAATCGACCAATCAAGCTTTGAGCAAAAGCTAGATTGAGTCTAGTTCCCATGGTTAAATACATTAGTGTTCCTACGGCACTCCGATACGGGATCATTTCCATCTCATTTATCTCCAGATCATTGTTTGGTTTCATAGTGACATTTAATTTTCCTTTCCTTTCCACAGGTGTGTCTATAGGCCTTGATTCACTCATATCAAATCTCTCAAGAAATTTCTTGCAATATGTAGATTGAGATAAATGAATAGTGTGGGCTACTCTATCTCTTATAATATGAATCCCTAACACATATGAAGCCCCTCCCATATCTTTCATATCAAAATTACTTGATAGCATTGCCTTTGTGTCCGTTATATGGTTTAGGCTACTAGCTATTAGAATTTCATCCACATATAAAGTCATGCAAGTAATGCCAGTCCCACTGGTCTTATGATATACACAATGGTCATCCTCATTTTGGTTTGAATCCATATCTAATCAAGGTTTGGTGGAACTTAAGGAACCATCTTCTTAAAGCTTGTTTGAGAACATAAAGTGATTTGTTAAGTTTGTACACAAACTTTTCCTTTCCTTTCACAACAAAATCCTCGGGTTGGTTCATGTATATATCTTCTTCTAGATCACCATTTAAGAAGACGGTTTTCACATCTATTTGATGCAATTCTAGGTCAAGGTAGGCTGCTATGGATATGATCATCCTCATTGAAGGAATTTTGTCAACAGGTGAATAGATGTCAAAATAATCTACCCCTTCTTTTTTAGTAAAACCTTTTGCTACAAGTCTTGCATTGTATTTTTCAATAAATCCTTCGGAGTTAAGTTTCTTTTTTAATATCCATTTAGATCCAATGGATCTAAGGTTATATGGTAATCAGACTAACTCCGATACATGGTTCTTTATGATTAAATTTATCTCATCTTACATGACTTCCTTCCATAACTTATGATCCAAACAAGACATAGCATGTAGGTAAGAATAAGGTTCATCATCGAGTTCTTCTCTAATTCTCTCATAGTCCTCCTCAAGGGTAAGTGAAAAAGGTAGGTGGTCTCCTTATTCTCTCACTTCCCCTAAGTGAGATGCTTTCAATTTCTTTGTTAGGCTGAAGCTCATTGAAGTCTACTCTCTTTGGTTTGATTATCTCTCAACGAATTCATCTTCAAGGAAATGAGCATCAAGGTTTTCAATCACATTACGATCCAAGAGGTTATAAAACCTAACTCCTTTCCCATGAGTTGGATATCATATGAAAACACATTTTATGGTTTTAGGATCAAGTTTGGATCTATTTTGGGATGGTATGAGAACATAGGTTGAACATCCCCAAACCTTGAGGTTCTTTATTGAGGGAGGTTGACCCATGAAGAGTTAGTAAGGAGTTGATTGAATTGCTTTGGTGGGAGTCCGATTAAAGACATATGTGGCGGTTAGAATCGCCTCCCCTCAAATCTCTAACCCAAGATTAGCGGTACTCATCATACTTCGCACCATCTCAACTAGGATCAAATTCCTTATCTCGACAACCCCATTTTGTTTGGGTGAGTAAGGCATGGTGGTTTGATGGACAATCCCATTTTGGACAGAAAGATCTTGGAAGGCTTGGGAGGTGTATTTCCCACCCCTATTTGATCTAAGGTTTTTGATGGTTCGACCTAGTTGGTTTTTAACTTCCGCTTTATATTGTTGAAATTTGGTTATGGCCTCACTTTTGTTTCTCATGAGATAGGTGTGACCAAAATGGGAATGGTCAT